GGGGGGGGGGGGGGGAGTCTACGGTGGCCACTAGTTCCAGCAAGGATACCTGTTCTTAGGGTAGCAGCCAAGTCCCGTACAGGTGGCACAGGCACATACTCACATCTGCCAGCCTTTGTAATGAAGTGACGTGCAATGTGATAGCCTGTCAATGAACGCTGGTTCCCAGGCTGCCGCCCAGGCCACTAGTGACACTGGCGCCATCTGCTCCCAGCCAGGGACATACAGGCACCACGTGCCACCCGTCAGGACCTGGTGGGGTGCAGCTTTCTCCTCTTTCCGCTTTTAAAAGCACATCAGTGTGGGGCTCACGGTGGGAGTTTTGACAAGAACGGGAGGCACCTTTCCAAATGCTTTGCAATGTTAAAAATGCACATAAAGTAGCTGGCTCGAAAAGAAGCAACTGGAGGTGCAAAAAGCTCAACAGCACAGCCTGGACCTGGGAGCACAAGGTGCTGCCTCTGCTGTGTGCTCTGGATACTTTCACTCCCTGGAGCTTCCCAAAATAGGCACTGGCTCCCTCCAGCTCCACCCCTGCTTGGTGCCCTGTCTGTTCCCTGGTCCACTAAGGGAGCTCATCTCCCTGATAGGTCAGAGCCTCCCCAGTACAGGCTGTCAGTATGGCAGAGCCCACCAGTCAAGCAAGGGGTCAAGCTCTGGTGTCTGTTCCCATTCCACTGCTGAGCTGGCCAGCTGCTCCCAGGAGGTTGGAGCAAGGGCTTTCTCAAGACCTGGTCTGCTCAGCCGGGATCCTGTTAGGCCCAGGCAGGGCACAACCATCAAAAGCACCTGGAGATGCACCCTTGGGAAGAAGACCAAAGTGGCAGAGGAAGTTCCAGGGAGAAGCAGCAAGGGGCAGTGGCTCCGCACCATTAGGAAGTAGCTCACATGTCCCCCTATGTGACCCTGTAACACCCAGGGAAGGACAGGTAGGGTGGAGATAGGAACTTACAGTCTACTCTCCCAGGAACATGTGGGTGGATGGTCAGTAGCTCAAGACTACAAGCCCACACCTGCCTCGCTCTGGCCCGGGGACTCTGGAGGCCACAAACAAGCCAGAGTCAGCCTTATAGTCTGAGACTGGTCCTCTGCCCCCACTGCAGGGACTGTCAGGCTCTTGGTGGCCACAGAAAGTCCAACCAGCCAAGGACACAGGTTCTAAACCAAAGTACAGAGCAAGGGTTGGGCCCTGTGGGCAGCAGGGTGCACATCGGAGGGTAGAATGAACTTCAGGGAGCCAGGAAAGCCAGGGCTGATGCTGACTCTGTCCTTGAGGGTTTGGAGGAATGGCCAGAAGAGATGGAGCCCCATCCCTTTCATGGAGGGTTATATGTTTTTGTTGAAGTCAAAAGTTTGCTGACGCTAGGGGAGGAAATCTATTTAATTATGACTAGGGTAAGTGGGCCAGTCTGTAGCAGTGCACAGCTGGGAGCAATCCACCTTCTTCACAGTGGGGTGACAGTCTTATAGGGGTCCAGACAGCTAGTGCTATCCAGCTCACCTACCACCTCCCCTGGCCCTTAGAAGGAAGGATTCGGCCTTGGTGAGCTGTTTTTCCCCTCCCAAGCCCCAGAATTGTCCCACAGTGGCTTCCAAGACTGGTAGGTAATAGGCAACAATAGCCCTGACTAGCAGCAGGTTTGGGCCTTGCCAAGAGCAAGGATGGGGGCAGAGGCAATGCTGGAGAAGCCCCTGGGACCCCCATTCTGCTCTCATCACAGGCTCCTTTAGACAGCTGAGTGAATGGAGGCAGGCTCTAAGTGGCTAGGGTATCAGTGTGATGCACATAAGGGCTTATGGGAACAGGGATTCCCTCTCAGATGGCTCGACAGCAAGAAAGAGTAGCACAAAGGCCAGACTCAGGGTAGTGGGGACGAACTGTCTACAGTACAGTGATATAGGAAGTTGTATGGGGGAGACAGGAAGGCAGATTTTACAGGGCTCAGACTTGGTCTCTTGTGTCCCAGGAGCAGATGCAACTTTCCAATGAGGAGTGACTGCTCTACCTGTATTACTCTGAGCTCTACCTGCCTGGAGGGAACAGCCTAGTCCTCCTTTTAGCTCAGAATCTACTGTCTCTCAGTGAAGGGCATCTGACTATGAGAAGCCAAGTCTAAACTTGCCACCTGCCCCAGCAGCATCTGCATCTCTCAATACCCTCTCCCCTACACACGAGAGATTAAGTTCTGGCGGCAGGTATAACTCCATGCCATGGGCCCATCCAACCTGGCACAGCACACATCAGGACCCAGTCACAAGATGGCTAGGCCCAGGGTCTGAGGATGGAACCATGTGGCAATCACTAGGTGGTGGTCACTACAGGGCAATGAGATGGCTTATCTCCCAACCCAAGGTTCAGTCCTAGTCTTAAGCCTTGGTACTTAGGAAGTCTGGTTACTGAGTACTTGGAGCGTGGGACAGAGGCAAGCCACAGATACAGGGAGACCACAGGCAGTACTGACGGGGGTCACGGGCATGGTAGAGTCCTGGCAAGAGCCCAGGCTACTCCCAAGATCCTCAGGTGAGTTTACCAGGTTCTCCTGTTCCCAAAAGAAATAGATCTTAGGGTGCTCCCAATATATCCTGCCTGGAGAACAGCAGCTGGAAGCTATGGCCTGGAGACAGGCTCCGGAACAAAGGAGCTGGCTGCCCCAGCAGATGTTCCCTGCTCTGCCATGACCCCAGACTTGCCCTGGGTACCATCTTTTCCCAGGGCCACCTCTTCTCCCCTCAGTCCTTCTGGTGGGTAAGGCTACTGGACATAGCTGGGCCTCTGCAATCCCAAAGTAAGGCAAGGAAGAGGGTAAAATTGGACTGAAACCAAACTACTTTTCTAGTTAATTTGTACAATAAGCACATCCAAAGCATTTCCTTCTCCCCAGCCTGTTCCTAGGCTGCAGGGGCTTGCAGCAGTAGTGGCATCTGCTTCCAGATACAGTTCATGAGGCATCACCAATGCGATTAGGGGCACCGCAGCCCCAGGTGTTTACTTGCTGGGGCATGTTTACCATAACCTGGCTCATCCTTTGTCCAAGAGCAAAACAGGTGCTTGTGCATGGTCCCCCATGAAAAATCAGGGGCTGCTCAGCCAAGCAAGAGGCAGGTGCCCCTCAGACTGCCCAGGGTACACCAGGGCCGTTTGGAAACACCCTCCCTGCTCTGGCTGCTCCTCAGGCTCAAAAGGGACAGTTACCAAAGTTCTGTGCCTATCCAAGAGTAAAGCTAATTTCCAGGCTGGGAAGTGATCCTCTGGGGAGCATTCATTTGAATCAGGTCCCTAAGTTCCAGATCCTTGACCTTGTCCTCTTCCTATGGCTTGGGGGGTTGGGGGGTGGGGGAACTGTGACACACTGGCCCATAGTGACCACTACATACTCTCTAGCATTGCAGCTCACCTGTGCGGAGGAAGGACTTGCTGCCATCACTGGGCCGGCTAGAGGTCTTGGAGAGCTTGTTGGCAGACACCTTGTAGAGGACCCCTCCTATGCAGCGATAGCCTTTGCTCCGCCACCGAGGGGAGCCAGGTGGGGCTTTCCCACTCCCAGTGACAGCTGGACGTTGGCGGTTCAGCACCAAGGACCTGCAGAGGTAGCAAACTGCCTATGAGACAGGGCCTAGGACAAGCTCCAGCTTTGATGGTCAATGCTAAGGGAGGGGCCCAGAATGAAGGCTGCTGGTCCAGCTGCCAGGAGACTTCTGTCCTTTCTCCCCTCACATGGACATATCTGTGGTAGTCTCCTGGGACTACTCACAAGGAGTCCCAAGACACAGTATTGATTGAATAAATAACCTGGCTAGAAATTTATGAGTCCCCAAAAGGTCAGAGAGGGAGGGAATGGCCTCCTTCAATACACACCCACTTTTGGACACTGTCTCCTAGTCTGACCACTGCTAGGAATGCTCCCTGGGGCCCAGGGGAGGGCAGGTGCCTGGGTGTCTGTATTTTGAGAAGCAGTGCAGGACCCTGGCCCCCTGGAACCAGTAGATGGTTCTCATCTGGGTTCCTGCCAAGGTTGGTTCCATCTCCCCAGGCTGCCTCAGGACAGAGATGATGTGGGGTCAGCAGGGTCTACTTAATCATTATGTTCCCCACCCCTCCTCTGCTCACAACCCTGCACCAAGAGTGGTGGGGTGCTCTCACAGACCCCACCCCAGGCCCACCGTGGAGAAGGGAAACCCTGCTCAAGAGGTCTGGGCAGCTGTGGGACTGGTGGCCTGGAGAGCAGATCTGGGCTAGGTGGACCTTGAGCCTCAGAGGTCACCCTACTGCTCCCCCTCAGTTCAAGTACTTAGGCTTCAACCTACCTGACACCCCATGGTCCCCAGGGAAGCCCAAGCACTGAACAAGCTGAGGAAGCACTATAGATGTTGTCACTCAAAGAGACGACTCCTGCAACCCTTCACCAAGGTGTCAGTCCCTGCCCAGCTGTGACATAAGCAGACTGTCCCCAGAGAGGGAACTTAGTGCCCCAGCAGCCATGGTGAGCCCAGGGCCCCAGCAGGGAGCCAACCCTTAGGATGCATTTTAGCAATGCCTTGTTTATGTAAATCTGTCTCTGCTCATCACATGATCACAGCCTGTATGCACTGCCCCCAAGTGGCAAACCTGGGCAATGGGCACCAGCTATGTATCAGCAGAGCTCACACAGAGACCATGAGAACAGCAGTATCCATCCCTCAAGGGACAGCTCAAATGGGGGGGGGGGGGGGGGGGGGGGGGGGGGGGGGGGGGGGGGGTGAGGGCAACATATCTAACATGGCACAGGCATGGCTATGGCCTCTCCCTTCCAGGGTACTCTCACCATCCCTCCAATGCCCTGCACCCTATCCAGACCCAGCTCCTGAGGGAAGCAAGGCCTGAGGACTCCCAGGATCCTGTAGATTCAGGAGACCCTTCCAGCCAGTCAGGGCCAGGGAGGCATTCCCCAAGTGCTGAGCTACAGAGTAATGGCCAGAGGGGGCTTGCTTGCTTCGCCAAGGCAGCTACAGCATCATTCACTACAGCCTGCCCTGCCACCCAGGGGAGCTACACAGAAAGGAGGTGCTAGGGGAGGCACACCCTGTGCTTAAGCTCAACTACCATTCTAGCATTCAGCACCAGAGCCCCTCTGGGCCTTGGTCTCTCCACCTGCAAGATGGGATAACTCTTGCCGGCTAGTGCCTCTGAGGGCTCATTAGAGAGATAATGTGAGCAAAGCGAGTCAGGCATCAGGGGACCAGAGCTGCGGTGTAAGTACACACACAGTGTGAGCAGGCCACAGAAGGCACTTAACCTAGTTTCCCTTAATTAAAATTCAAGTTCACAAACACCAATCTTAGAGGGAAAGAGTCCTGCCAATAGGCCAGGCTGCAGCGGTCGGTCTGCCTGGCCACTGCCCCGCCTGTCACAGGGCACCATCTGGTGAGGAAAGGGCCCTCTAGGCTGCAGGCCATCAGACCTTGGGACCCCAGGGCACATGCAGCCCAATGAACACTGGCCCTATACCTTTGGCTTGCACCATGTACGAGGAAAGGCCCAACCAAAAAAGGTCTTCTAGTGCCATCAGCCTTCTACTTGAAGACCTAGAGGCTCAGTGGAGTGGTATGTCCTGATCCTCCATAGGAGCTATGGCCACTGCAGAGGGATGCCCAAATGCCCAGGTAGAAGAAAATGGAACTGGGGCTGTAGCTGCTCCAGTTTGCTCAACCTGAGGCTGGCTAGTCCTTCACTATCCTGAGGGCCTGTATACCTGTGTCCACCAGCCTGGGGCTAAAGTGACATGAGGAATAGGGGCCTGGGGGCTGGAGGGTACCACTTTGCAGTAGTGACCCCTCACCTAGCCTCTAGTCATCCGAGAACTGAGGCTAGAGGCCAACTCTGGTCTTCCCCACCAGGGTCATCTAATCTTGCCTGGTGAGTCCTGCCTGGGGTCTGTGCAGGGTCCCAAGTACTCCAAGTACACTCCTCCCAAGTACTCCAACTCTGTTCACAGTATAGCCACACTTGTCTACAACTACCAGGAAGTGTGCAGAACAGCAGGAAATCACATTCATGTTCAGCTGCCATTTTGGGCCCAGTCCTGCAAGAACTCACCTGATGCACTCCCTGCAGAAGCATCCTTGGGGGAGCAGAGGGTGGAGGGGGGCTGATGTGTCATGCATGGTGAGTTCTGAATATGCTTCCTACCAATCCCTCCCTAGAGTAGCCACAGACAAGCCACAGGTTAAAGCAGTATGGGGCAGCCATAGAGCTAGCCAGGCCCAGCCAGAACTGCAAAGTGTTCCTTCACTTCTGTGAGCACCTGCTCCGCAAAGGAGATCTGCAGCCCCTACCTCCCTGTATGAGAAGCCTCAGGCTAGGGACTGTCAAGGGCCTGCCTCAAGGAACCAGGACCCAGGGGCCAGCATGGGGTTCAGGTTGGGCTGGGATGTTATACCCAGGCCTGGTTTCCACAGCCTGTGCCCTCAGAAGGCTAAGCCAGCTTCATTAACACCTACTTTTCATGATTGGTCTTCAAAGGTGAAAGGCTCATTTGGAGTTACAGTTCTTCCCTAGATGGTCTTAGCTATTCCAAATGTTCATTTTATTGTTTTATTTTACTTTCTTTGAGACAAGGTCTTGCTATGTAACCCAAACTGATCTCAAACAGATCTTCCTGCCTCAGCCTCTTGAATGTGGGATTACAGGTGTGTACCACCATGCCTGGCTTGACATATTTATATTCTTTTTTTTAAAATACTTATTTTAGGGGCTAGAGAGATGGCACAGTGGTTAAGAGTACTGACTGTTCTGAGGACCCAGGTTAGGTTCCGAGCACTCACACAGTGACTAACAATTGGCTGTAACTCCAGTTCCACTCAACATCCTCTTCTGGCCTTCACAGGCATTTGTAAGACATGGTTGCACTTATATACATGTAGGCAAAATACTCATACACATAAAATAAAAATATTTTTTTATTTATGTGTATTTGTGTGTGTCTCTGTGAGTGAATGTCACATATGACAAGAGGCCAGAGTTACAAGCAGTTGTGAGCCACTGGACATGGGTACTGGAAACTAAACTGAAGTCTTCTGGAGGAGCAGGAAGTGCTCGTAACTGCTAAGCCATCTCTCTGGCCCACGTTTATATTCTTTATATCAGCAGGCTTGAACTCGCTATGTAGACCAGGCTGGTCTCAAACTCACAGAGATCCGCCTGCCACTGCCTCCCGAGTGCTGGGATTACAGGCGTGCGCCACCACGCCTGGCTTTATATTTTTTTATTGAGTTTGTGTATTTCATACATAAAACCATCTTTATCCCCCCTTCCCCCTTCCCCCTTGGCACCTCCCACAGCCCCCCCCTCACTGGAGTCCATACAGTCTGTCATTTGTATTAAGGCCTATTATGTAAAGTTAGTGTCCCCAGATGTCCCTCAGTGCAGGTTCATCCACCAGGGTTTAGTCAGCCTATCTTCAAGAAGGGTTTAGTCTTCAAGAAGGGTTCATCCACCTGGGTTTCGTCTCCCTCTTCAAGAAGACCATCTCTTTCTCATCCAGCAGTAATCAGCTGCCAATAATTCTCTGACTAAGATTGGGGACTGCTGTTCATTTCCACAGTTCTATGCTGCGTTTTTGTCTGCCTAAGTTTGCATGATGACAGCATTGCTGTAGGCTTGTACAAGAAGGGTCCCAGGCGCCTGTAGGGCCATTTCTGTGTGGTCATGCACCTCCTCCCTGGTTCTAACAATCTTTCTGCCCCCTCTTCAGCCATGGTCTCTGAGCTCTGGGTGAATGGACCCCAATATAGGAGACTGTCCAAGGACCCATTCTCCGCCAACTTTCATTCACTGTGTTTTGGCCATTTGTGCTCCCGACCCTCTGTTGCATGAGGGAGCTTCACTGATGAGAACTGAGAGATGCACAGTGTTCTCTTCACTGTTCTATGTCCATGTTTACATTCTTATGAATGATCAGGAAATATCAATTTGTCCTTTCTCTTTCCTTCTTCAAAAAAACCAGCCAGGTGTAAAGGTGGTGCACGCCTTTAATCCCAGCATTTGGGAGGCAGAGGCAGGAGGATCTCTGTGAGTTTGAGGCCAGCCTGGTCTACATAGTGAGTTCCAGGTCAGCTGGGGCTACAGGGAGACCCTGTCTCAAATGACCAAAAACAAAACAAAACAAACAGAAACAGAATCCTCATTGGAGTGTGACAGCAGCTATGAGGGCAGGAAGCATGTAGAGCAGCCCCTGTGTTTTCTTTTTTTTTTCTTTTTTTAAATTTATGTTTTTATTTCATGTATATGAGTGTACTGCCTGCATGTATGTGAGTGCACCCATGTCGTGCAATGCTTCGGAGGTCAGAAGAGGGTGTCGAATTCCCCTGGAACGAGTTAAGGACGGACGGTTCGTAGCCACCACGTAGGTTCTGGGAATCGAACCTGGGTCCTTTGCAGGAGCAGTCAGTGCTCTTAGCCACTAAGCCATCTCTCCAGCCCAGCCCCTCTGTTCTTATCCCAGACTGCATGTGCAAAGGCCTGTGGAGCCAGGTCCTTAGCGATGGGGCAGGGACTACTTGCTGCTTTGCTCACCACGGAGCCTGAGAGCCCTGTGTGGAACA